TAACCATTTCACCTGCAGCAAAAATAAAATTAAAATAAAAACGAGCTACAAATTACTGTTGCTTACCTCCAGTTCGTGTTGCAAAATGGATAATATTACCCACCGTCTTCAAGCCACCTGATATGTAACACCTCTTTTATTATTTTGTCAAACAATGTTTTTGAAATAAACCTGTTTTTAATTTTCATTGATGATTAATAATGGCAATGTTCGGACATATTATAGACTGTTAATAGTTATTTTATATGTATATAATTCATTGTAATCGACCTAATTGTTTTAGACAATTTTTAATGAGGAGTAAGATTAATATTTTATTATCCTCACAGCACGTTGGTTATGTGCTGTGAAAATATTGCGTGGCAAATTAATTATAATAGCGGATCAATTTAATAGTAAAATTAGCCTATAGGCCTCCCCTAATAATGATAATATAATAATAATAATAATTAAATGCATAAATTGAAAATACTAAATCATCTTGATACTGATAGCAGATGCTTGTTTTGACAATATCTCTGGATACATACACGTAAATAGGCGCAATCCAGGGGGTTATCGCAGATATTACACGTATAGTGTGAGCAGTGAAGTCGCAGCTCGACGATCGGACCGTACAGTGTGAGCACATAAATCTTGAACTTTGGCTTTGCATCGCATGCGATTTACTCGTTCAGTGTGAGTAGGTACCTTGCTGAAATCGCACAGACATCGCACAGTGTATGCCCGCCTTCAGGAGAGACTTACCGCAGGCTAACAGCACAATATGGCACAAAACGGCACAATTGGCCAGCTGTCTCCAGCTGGCGTTAGCCCATAAGATTTCAGCTGAAGTGAAGAAGGGGAGGAGTTCCCATACTACGTCATCGACGTAAATGTCTCGTTCCCTGCCTTTCAGGGAACCAAGGTTACGAAAGTAACCAGAGACGTTTTGTGTCATGTTGATTCTATTTGTGTAAAGCAACTCCAGCAGTGTTAGAAAGATTGTTGTAGTAAGTGACCTAAAGGTGTGTATGTGTGCATCTGCAGTATTTAATATAGTGCATTCAAATCATGTCTGAAAGATCATATTTTACGAGTGAAATAAACAAAAACATAAAGCAAAATACATCTGATGCAAGTTCTTAGATTTCTTGAGGTAGAGTTTAACAACCATGCTGTATTTTGTCTAGTTAATGACGAAAAGGTGCACCACCATCTTGACCCCAACAAGTTACGCCCTGACAAGTAATTTACTTCTGGGAAACCCAGGGCTAATTTTGATTTAGACATAGGGGAGAACAATTGCTGCAATGAATTTTTTTTTTTTTTTCAGAACCACTTCATCTCATCACATCATTTAAGTAATAAACATTTAAGAATGCACATAAGGTCTGCTCTCTAAAACTATTTTTTGAAAAGGAGAATACTGATGAGAATATTGTTTCAGAAAAAAATATATCTACAACACAAGTAATTCAGACACAACACTTTTTTTACTAGGACAAGTGAATGACAGATTTAGAGCCTTTTTACTAGCCTGGTTCAACCAGACTCTAGTTCATTTCATTTCCACATAGAGTCTGGAACTGCACCATTGAGAAACGTTTCCTTCCTTGTAGGCGGGTTCACTATTAAAGTTCAAATCTATTGGATCTGCCCAAAGTCACTCACGATCTGCCATAGCCAATCGCTAACGGGGTGTCTTGAGTGACGTATGTCACGCGCCGAAATGGCTGGAAACAACAAGTCCGAATGATCAGAGGATTATGTTTACAATAGGATTTCAGTCAACGAGCGCCGCAGGTTTTGTTAATCTAGGAACAATTATTAATTCGAAATGTATATTTTACACGAAGGACAGTGATATATTCATTCAACGGTGGAAGCTGTGTCTAATCATTACAAATACGCCGCTGTGGTCGTTTTCTGATCTGCCGCAAATGCTGTAGCAGCTACAGTGAATGATCAGTCTGTGTCTATCTGCAGATGTGTAATAAACAACAATTTTTCATATTACGTCTTATTGTTTCTTAATTACCTTAATTATGGTCTTCAAAGTATGTGTGTGTACATTTTTATGTGGCATTTATTTTTTTTAGTAAAACAAATCAACCATTGCCATCTAAAACTGAAAATGAAATATCTTCAAAGTATGGTTTTTCACATTTTTATTTATGACAATTATTTTTTTTTAAAATCACAACCAATTTGTATGATTTACAACATGTAAAACTGACACACCAACCTCCTGCACGAGTGCACAAAGGGGCTCAAAATGTTCTATTCATCACAGGAATCAGTAAATATACAGTTGGGAATATGAGCGACTGACATGAGTCCTGAGCGGATCTTCAACAATAGTTTAGCAGCCAGGACTCGGGGCTTCCGAACACCGCGAACACCAGGCTAAACCGTCCGTCGGTCATCGTGCACGAGCTGCCCAGCACAAACTTCCAAACTTTCTGCCTCCTTCATTTGGTCCTCAGCTGTGCAACAAGAGGTGAGACGATAACAATCCGGCTTTAAATTCTGTATATTCGGCAGTTTCTTTTCCAACAACAGACCGAATAGCTTTTCTCACGTCTTTCTCCGCTGCCATTACTGAACTCAAACTGACGCGCTTACATCAACGTCATCTTTCTCAGCCACTCCCTCTATTCGCTGATTGGTCCTACAAAAAAAATTGATTTCTGGAAACCTAAGGATATGGAGCGATCCCAGACTTAGTACAGAAGTAAAATGAAATTGAGCGGAAGTGCGTAGGAGGGCGCAGCCAGGCTACCTTTTTACAGCCCATGTGATCAAATAGTTGTGCGCGCATTTTGGCAATGGAAGTGGTGTTGTTTCCCACTGGCTCTATCATGTTAGCAACTCTGAAAGTTTATCAAAGTGGTTTCCCAGCATCAAAATGTGTGGTTGTTGCGTTTACGGTTGCACTAATTGATATTCCACCAAGGTTTTATAGGATTCTGACTATAAAAATTAATGTAAAATGTAAGGACAAGGATAAATGTAGGTCTGGGTGATGAATAAGAATAAATGTAGGAAAGAATAATGGAAAAGAATTAATGTAGGGAAAAATGAAGGAAAGCAAAGGTAGGTCTGGGTTATATGTTTGATTATAAGCCTCATACACTGTTGTCTTGTGTCCTTGTCTTTGACTAGGAAGAATTTCTGATTTCAACACACAAAAGTCGAGTCTATGTCATGGTATTTGGCATTCTGTACATGACCACAGACAACGTATTCATAAGTATCTAGTGATGTATATGCTCGTAATTTCTCTCTGGTGTATACACGCTCGGTTTCTCAACTAAATACATATATCGCCACTGTATATTTGGCCATCTGCTAACGTCTTCTATCCACTCCACTATAGTACACGGATCTGGTAGCCAGATAACATTTAATAAAGTTGACTTTTTAAATAACTTTCTCTGTCTTTGTTGCTTAATCCACTCCGGTAGCTTGACACACTGCTGTCAATATTGCCAATATGCACGTGCATATTATGTAGCCACGTCATCATTGTGTACAAACAGTAAAAGCCTAGGTAGCAAGCGGAATCTGGCCAATCGCAGCTAAGTGTCGGCTCGCTTGGGTGTGTACTGGCAGCGGCTCGCCAGAAATGAGACAGCTTTGGCCCATTAACTAGGGATGTAACGATTCACTCGCAACCGGTTGAAAATCGATACAAATGTGTGACGGTTCAAGTCAGTTGAAATGTTAAACGAATCGCGATACACATTTTAAACAGCAGGGGGCGCTGAAGCAGTAGCCTATATTTTGACCTTGCTTTACAGGCGCGAACACCAGCGAACAAGCTGAGCTTCAAACAGTAGCAAAAATGGGATGCATAAATTTTGCAGTAGCACCTCAATGCAGAACATGAGATCCACGGGGCGGAGTCGGATCAGGATCCAAGGGGTGGAGTCGGATCCAGATTCAGGGAGCGGAGTTGGATTTCCTCGCACTGTATTCTGATTGGTCGACAGATTCCTAGCTGTTTAGAGAAAATGGCGTCATTTTAGCGGCCCCTAATTTAATAACAAAAGATCGTTGCGACGGAAGCGAATCAATCAAAACTAACTTTAGCTGAAAATAACTTTATTTAAGAACCACAATTTAGCTAAACAATCTCAGTTACCTTAAATTATACGTTTATCTCTGTAAAGCTGCTTTGTAACAAATCTACAATGTTAAGCGCAATATAAATGAAGATGACTTGACTTTTGACGGGAAAAACAAACTTGCTGAAAACAAATCTTATTTAATAAAGTTTAAAAAGTTACAAACACTGTAGTTTGTACATTGTGTGAATGTGTACCTTTTATTACGTATATAGTGGTGGACAAAAGCCAAGTATTTTATTAGATTTTTTTAATTATTATTATTTGGAACAAGCATATAATTATAATCAAAAATAAAAAGATTGCTTACATTTAATCTTCCCTGAAAAGCATGTGGTTCATTGTTACATGCAAGAATATCTCTTAAAAGAAGTGTATTATTTGATAGGCTGATCTTTTACCCCTCTCAGTAATTCACATGCACTTTGATTTCAAATACTGTTTTTGAAATACCAGTTTTCAGAGATTTTAAATCAAGTTTTAATTCAAGCAGAAAATATGTTTGCTTTTTCCACAACTGATTATGCAACTGTAAGTGACTATATTATAGCAGCACTCATTTTATACTTATAAATGACTTCACACTGGAATCTGACATCATTTACATAACATAAGAGCATCTCAATTACATAAATGCATGAAAAATTAATAGGATTAAATAGGAGGGGAAAAACACATATTTATTAACACTAGGTAAAACAGACATTTTGAGTAGGGAAACTTTGAAGGCAAAACATAAGGAAAACCACATTGAGAAAACACGCAGAACGACAAAAACATTACAGGGAAACCATTCACAATTAGTTAATTCATTAATTCATCCCAAAATGGTCAAAACAGATCTGGCAAAACTCGCTGCAGAAGTCTGGGGGGGGGGGGGAACTTTTTAGTCATTCTAAAAAGTTCCCCCTTTCTTCCTCGACCTCCATATCCTGTGGGTTAGCATAGAAAGCAAATATTTCAATGTATTAATTCATCATTGAAAGTAAAACACTCCATGGCAACAACTAACAATGCATACCTGGAGTGCAGTGTTTGTACACGTCTCCACATTGCCGACACGTTTCCAGTTTGTACATTTTGTAGTACTCCGCCTTGTAGTACGGTGAGAAAACAGTCCAATTTGTGACACCTGTACACATAAAACGTTTTTTTTTAAATCACACACAAAAATACACAAGGCTGGAATTCATTGACCAGCCAATCAAGCAAAAAATAAATAAATAAATAAAAATAACGCAAAAAATAAACACTTACTATCAAGCCAAAGAAAATGGGCTCGTCTCCTGAAGCCTTCCCGTGTCACAAGGTCTCTGAAGCGAGTGCACACAAGGGCCAGCTTCAAAATTGCCTCATCACCCTCCTGGAGAACCAGATCAATAAAAATGTCCTCCAGAACAGATGCTGGCAACTGTGAACAAATGTACAAAAAAGAGAAACAAAAGAAAAGATAATGGCCCAAAAGCCCAGTTCTTCAATTTATCTAGGTCTTTGTTGTTGCTTTCAGTTTACTTGTGTATGTTAGACTCTCTGAAATTTTTTACTAGACTATCACCCAGTATAATAGTGCAAATTCTCTTTTGTTCTCTCCAATGTTTCACTTAACAAACAACTTTGTTAGCTTATTGAATTACAAAATTAAAATCATTTTAATTAAGAAAATCTCCAATTACCACAATTCTGTCGCTTATCATCTGATTTACTATGTCTTCCTTCTCAACAAAAACCACCACTGCTTTATTCATCCTGGATGCTAATATTTTCATACCCAACATGTTCCCCGATTGCCAGCAACACATCTTCAACAGTGATGCCCTGAGCCGGTACACACCTGATTCCAGTGCGTAAAGAGAACACTCTTTTGCGTATGTGCTGATAATTTAGAAGCTAATAGCATGGCAGGCTTTCAAGTAAGCTTCAATTCCAGTGGTGGAATGTAACGAAGTACAAATACTTTGTTACTTTACTTTTCACGTATCTTTACTTTACTTAAGTAGAATAAACAGTGCATACTTTTTACTTTTACTTCGTTACATTTTGCAGCAATTATTATACTTTCTAGTCCACTACATTTCTACAACTTCTGTTACATTTTCATTACATTTTCTGATCAGTTTTTCCCCTTCCAAAACGTAATCTGACCGTCCGTTCGTTGCACGTTTGTCTCACCAGTGACGTTTGGTTGCCATAGATACATCAACTAAATGGGTCTCACACGCAGTGTGTTTATCGTGCAATTTATACGCAAAATTTTTTTTGTACGTGCATAGGAAACACACCGTGTGTAATATACGTTTGGTTGGGATTATGACAAGCCAAGAGGTTCAGAATTACACCATAATTATTTGCGTTTACTGCCAAACATAGTTATTAACATATAAGTTAGTCATAGACATATACACTAGACGTCACCTTGGCTACGGCAGTTCATTGGAACGAATGCGTCAATAGAGCCGCCATCTTGAAACAGGGGAGCCCCTCCACTTTAATGCATCAGCGTCAATGTAGTAGACACAGGTCTAACGGAAATAAAATCACCATAAATCATCATGAATGCGATTTTTCTTGTTTTTATGGTTTGTTCCAACGGTCAGACATGTATTTATCATTGATTCCAGAAAGAAAGAAAAAAAATTTTTTTTTTCAAAAACATTCTTCCTAGTTCAGATTTCATCCGTGAACATCATACACTGCACAAAAGTCTGCCACCATCAATGAATTCGACGTAAAGGCAAAGATAGCAGCGTTACCTAGCTACTTCCTATGACAAGACCCCTGTTCCAAGATGGCGGCGGTTTTGACGCATGCTTAGAACCCCAAGGTGAGGTCTAGTGTATATGTAAGTTAGTAAGGATAAGCATGGTTTATATTGCCTAATTGCAAGCTTGTTTCAGAAATGGTGACAACTTTTTTTCCATCATTATTGAGCATCATTATAGGAGTAATAAAACATTTAATTCTAACTCATTCAACCTAATAATCATTAGAAAATAGTCATTAAGAGAATCAATTGTTATGCAAGTACTTTTACTTTTAATACTTAAAGTACATTTAAAATCAGGTACTTTTTACTTTTTACTTAAGTATGGTTGGCATTGTGTTACTTCTACTTTTACTAAAGTAAATATTTATCTGGTTATTTGTACTTTTACTTAAGTACTGAGATTCAGTACTTCCTCCACCACTGTTCAATTCTGACAAACTGTGCAGATTTTGTTTGGTCTGGTCCGGTTGAGATCAGTGATTTCAAACTAAGAACTGTAGAAGAACACAGTTTTTTTTTTTTTTTTGTCCAGAAGTGCAGACAGATGGGAATTTGCAAAATGTCAACGGTGTGAAAAGGGAATGTGTGCTAAGCAAGCACTTGTCTTTTTTCATCCCGTCACTGGTGTCCCTCCTGATGCATTACATGATTTACTGGATGGCATTGAACCTGTAAAATTGTCTTTGTGCCTAAAAGATTTAATTTCAAAAAGAAACATTTCATTTGATGAGCTCAATCACTGCATTAAGTCCTTTCCATATAAGATTCAGACAAGGTTAACAAGCCAAAGGTCTTAACCAAGTCAAGTTTCATCAAAAGGTACAATAGGTGGTAATGCACACGAGATCTGGACACTTTTACGTTTGCTACCTCTTATGATTGGTCATAAAATTCCTGAAAATTAATCATTTTGGGAGATTCTAATGGACTTGAAAGTCATTAAATATTTTGATGATAGAACTAACTCAACAGAGGAGTCTCTTTGTTACCTAGAGAGCAAAATCAAAGACCAAAACTTGCTGACTAAAAACTTTTGCCAATTTTTCTCTATGTACAAAGGGAACTGTACTGCGCTAATTACTATTACGATGCTAATCATTTCAGAGGGTCGATTACCACATTTTGATGTCCAATGACTACAAGAGTAATGAAGAGAGAGCAGTTGTACTAAATGGTACCTTTTACTCTTAATATTGTTGAATAGTAAAATGCACTGTGTAAATGTTCACCATCAAAAGATACCCAAATGTAAAGAAAATGTACATATGAAGAACGTAGGCCTACGCAAAATAATAAACAAAATAAACAATTAATTATTTCAACAGATTTGAATTGTAAGGATACAGATGTTAGTTGGTCTTCCCAGCTAACACAAATACGTAACTGTTACGTAACTGCAACATAATCTGGTGACCAAACTTTCGTCGTGGCGAAGTAATTAGTTACGTAGTGGCAACCGGAAAAGTGAAATTCCCAGATACGTTGTTACAACGTAACTTTCTGACGTTACCTGTTAGTAAGCACAACGTTGTGACAACGTCACGTTGCGACTTTACCAGTTAGTAAGCATGACGTTGTGACAACGTTCTGTGCTGGTACTAAATATGTTATTTTCAAGGCGGACAGTTGATGTCCTCATTTGCCCACACCTCATTTAAAGACAATTTAAATCTGCTGAATAATGAATGCATACTAAAAATTAGGCACACTCAGCTAATTTATTTAAAAAAAAACAGTACATATTAACATTTTAATGAATTATGACACATTTAATTTGTTTGAACAAAGAAGGGGAATGTAGAGGAATGTAGAACAAGCTTTTTTTAATTGCAATTTCAAGATTTACAAACAGGAATGTAGAACAAGCGAACTACTCCAATTCTGCAGGTAGGCCTACTGGCAGTCGATCCTAAAGAAACGGCACAACAACAAAACAGGTTAGTCATTTTCATTGTAACCTGTAAATAAGAGTTGTATTAGGAAAAAAAAACAAAAAAAAAAACAAATAAGGGATATATGATAGGCTACTTAAACTGTACGTCACATTAGCTATTTTTGCAAATAATGCAATTTATAAACTGGCCTTTTGCTCCAAAGGGCGAAATGATGTCTTTGATCGATGGGCAAAAAAGTTGCTTCACTGCAAGCTCTTATATGGTTCCTTAGGGTAGCCTATATGATAACGTCTACATGAAATTCACGCACCATTAATTTGTAGAATTTTGTCTGATAGCTAACTCTGCCTTGACCCCGCAGCAACAGAAAAACAAATCCGAAATGACTCCAAAGGAGCGATTGCTGATTATAGGGCCTATTAAAATAACGTCTGTTTGTAACGACTCTGCAGAGGACATTTTTTTCCCATGATTCATTGTAAATCAAGGAATCATTCCTTTTTAGCTAAATTGGCCTACCGGCCCCCCTTAAAAACATTTCATGTATATTATCATTGTGTAATTCGTTACATATATTTATTGTGAAAATTATTAAAAGGAAGTTTCTCTATAGATACGTTGACTAAAATGCCACTAAAAGACTAAAAAATGCCATCGGCTAATTTGCATGGTCGATTACGTCGACTAATCGCGGCAGCACTAATAAAATGTACCTTTAAGCTCACTCTTCGTTGGGTCATTGCATGGTTGGGTCTTCGTGTGGTCAGCCCTTGCAGATGTTTGTCTCTCCTCTAAAAAAGTTATGTAATGTTATACAACAAGCACTCACTATGAATAATCCTGTGTGGGAAAAGTTATCTTTTATGGACAATTTGATTCCTCATGATATGACCTATTTAACAATTTTATTTTGTTGCATACGCAATTTTATTATCATTGCCTCATCTAACTTCTAACATCAGTTACTTTCAATTCAATCTAAAATCAATTCAAATAAAGCTTACAGATGTTGAGAACAAATTCAAATTTACCTTCAGTAATATATTCTGCCACAGACACAGAATTATAATTGGGTGATTAAAATACAACTAATTATTTAGTTGTATTTTTAAACAACTAAATAATTTATTTAGTTGTTTAAAAATAGCATACAAATATACAGTACTTAAACCTTTGTCTGGCCGTTTCTCAACAGTTGATGGGTTTTTTTTTAGGAAACGGTCCATCTAAATAGCATGCAAAATGTTAATTTACTTGAACCTTATTGCCATTTGTTGAATGGTATTTACAATGGTACCTTGATGCTTTCTTTTTTTGCGGGTTGCCCTCAGTGGTGTCTCATCTGAATAGAATAGATCACACATTATTAATGTGCAGTTAGCAATGAATTCTTTGAAAGTTGATAACGATCAGATTTTTTTTTATTTTTTTTTATGGATCTTGTGGGGGGATGTCAATTCGGAGTCATGAATCTTAATGGACTACAAAATACTCAAAGACTGAACGTAATGCATACCATCGCTGCTGTCATCATACTGGGCAGGTTTTCTTTGTGGCCTTTTAGTGTAGGTGTCATCACTCTCCACAGCAGAATGATATTCTGCTGCTTTGCACCACTTGAGGGCCTTTGCAAAATTGTCTGAAAATATAAAGCCAATGGTAAAACAATTAAAATATAATCATAATGTACGATCACATAATTAAAGTATCCTCAAATTAAACATTACCGGTATTTGCCAATACTCGTATTTTCCTGGAAATCCAATTTTTTTCATCAGGAATGTCTTCTTTTTTGCCCTTTTAGTGGGGTTTGTAGGTGGCCAGTAGCTGTATAGTTGCTAGCATGCGTCCAGTGAAGTCAGAAACATTGTTAAAATATTTATGTCTTAATTTTTATATTTTTGATCAAGATTATACTGTTGATGTGAAAGGTTATGAGAAATGTTCTTTTACCCCATTTTCTCTGTGTGTCCAGCACTGGGCTACAATGCCAACAGTCGACTCCTCCGTGAATTCAACGATCACATACATACTAAGGAAGGGATGAGGAAGGTCCGTAATTTGCCAAAACATTTTGCTTATCACATCTTAAAGAATATGCACATTAAAGTTCTCTTACATTGTTTGTCCATACAAGATTCACTGCTGGTGTAAGATGGCCATGAATGTCACTGTGTCTCCATTTTCAATCTTGATTGCTCTCTTTTCAATTAGATTTTTGGATATCCACCTCATTGTCGTTTGTTTTTTACTGAAGTTGTACGCGCCCAGAAGAAATGAGTGGCAGGGTTCAGTGAACAATGGGGCAGGACTATGATAAATTCTACAAAGAACATTTCCATCTTTCACATCATCGTTGGTGATCTCGCAGCCATTGTCATTGTCTAGGATGAATGCTCTATCCTTGCTCTTCTTTGTTTGTCTGTCTTTGTTGTTTTTAATTGTGGAGTCACGTCTTTCCTCAATCCTGTTGGCAATCTGGCTAAGAGGGTGTGTTCCGCTTCGTACCATCTTCTTGATTGTATGGAGGTATGTTTCGAATTTAAAAGCACTGCAGTTGTCCAGACCATTCAATTGTATAGCATCATCAGTGATGTGGAGCATTGAGTGGACGTTGTACACTATGAACTCATTTCCATAGAGCTCTCGTCCTCTGCTGACAAAGTAGCTGAGCAAGCATCTAGCATATTCTGAGTGCTTTTTGACCAGTGTTGGGGAAACTAAAATGCACATTGCCACACTGAATGCCAAGAAATGTAGGTACATGTCATGCCCAAGAATTCCCTTCAACACAAGCTTGCCTGTGTACAGCATGAATTGACGGTATTCTGTTGCCTTCCATCTCTCCAGCTCATCGAGGCCTCGAGGGGTGCGGGCAAAAATGGAAGGAATTTGACTACTAAGCTGAAGCAACTTAGAGCTCTGACTACTTGTTTTTGGGTGGTGGAGAGCCTGACTCTTCTTTCTCCATGGGTCCAACTGACAAGAAGCCTCTTCATCACCCCCAAGCATGCCTGATGCATGTAGTCGATTGGGAAGCTTTTGATCATATCTATGGGCAGCTGGATGAGTGGAGTATTGACATTGTGATGCTCAGGCTGAACTTGGCTCCTGAATAAATCATCTGTGCGCAAGGTGAGGTTTTCTGTGGCTGGAAATGTTACTTTATTAAACCATTCACCTTTCTGGTCACATTTATCACATCCATAGTACCCAGAGCACAGCTTTGTGCCTCGTGTAAAGGCTTTTGCTGGAGCATCACACACAATGCAGAAGACATTAATTGTGAATTGTCTATCCTTATACTGAAGACCATGATACATAAGATCATTGAGGTCTGCAATAACATAATCTAGGAAAGTCAGATCGGTGGGTTTCTTGTTTCCGCATGTTAACGTTGCTGGGAAAACGATGATGGGCTTGAGATGAATAGCACAGAGCACAGGCCACATAACTTTACTTGAGCTCTGGAACAATGGCAGGCCGTCAACGTTGAATGACAGATTAATTGTGTCATGGTCCAGGATCTCTTCAACAGGGTACTTATCCAGTTTGTCCAGCCACTGTTGACGCAGTGGGTAATGCAAATACTCCATGCCACATTTCTGCATTGTGGTTATTTTCCTAGGTGTTTTGAGCAGAGTACGAGCAGATGATGGAAGATTAGTGTGGCCATGTTTATGAAGAATTTTCAACAGATGGTCAACAGCATTGTTTTTTACTTCGAACTGAGAAGCCCAGGATGCCAGTTCTGTTGCCAGGGATAAGCTTGCCATGCTGTCTTCCTGGTCAGATGTACCATCCTTTTTTTCTCCATGACTTCCTCCAAGTCATCCTCCCAGTCAGTTTCTTCTGAAGGCCAGGATGCTTCAGAGGACATTGGAGATGAAAGGTTCATTGTGTTCTCCGTGGAACCTAAGGCATTGACCTTCTGTAACTGTTTCGGACTCTTCCAGACAGTCCAATTCAGTGCTGTTATTTTGTGTAGATATCTTTTGAAGAACACGTTTAGTTGCTCTCCAGGATCTTAGGTGTTGCCTCGAACGTTCTATTTTGTCCTCACTCATTGTTAAGCCTGTAAATATTTTAGTGTAATGTCTGACTCAATGTGTTTCTGTTTTTCTAACAAATCTTTTTGATTTAATTATTTTGATTACTGAGCATTAAAAACACATGAAGTTAATTAAGTCTTAGATTACATAAATGTCTTGATGACTACATAAAACAAATAAAAGTAAATAAAGTTTGAAGTGAAGCTAAAGAATATTACTTACCTTGAAATAAAAGATTGTAAGAAAATAAACTCAATGGAGGAGGCACTTGAAAACGATATAATCTAATAAATAAATAAAAAAGATAATCATTGGGTTGGATTATCAACCCAATGCATGAAAAGATAAGCATGAAACTTTTGAATGTTACCGTTGTTGAGATGAATATTATTATTGTTGATGTCTGTGTGTGTCTGACTTTAGCAGGATATTATTTAAATGTTTTATATGATTACAATATTATTCAGAAGACATGATTAACCAACATATTGATTTCATTTTGTAGATTCACAGATATATTTTATAATCATAACTTAATGTATATTTCATATTAAACACCCATTTATTCAAAGAGTATAAACAGGAAAGATCTGAAAATCAGACATATCCAGAATGATCATGACATCATCACAGAAGCCAAGATAACTGTCACAAGTGCAGGGATAAGAGACCTACTAAAGCAAATACTGATCTCCATTATGGTGACAAAAAACTTTATTATTAATTAAATCTCTGTTAATTCTCAACAAGAACTTTTGCACATGTATGAAATAAATCATGTTAAACTGGTTTGTAAACTGTTTTCACACTCTGTGTTGCTGGAAGTCAGTTGTAGATCTTGTGTTTCTCTTTTTCAGTTCTTGTTTCTCTGTCCTTCAGTGATTCTGCTTATCAGGTGTTCATCAGTGTCTCAATTCACTCACTTCTTTTCATTCAAGTGGACTATATTAGTGAACTAATGTAGGGAATAGTGAATGAGGGTATAGGGTGTGATTAGGAACACAGTCTCTGAGTGTTGACTTTGAGAGCTGTTAATTCACAGTATATTCCTGTAGGCTAGTTTTGTTTTCTACGGTATATTACTGTTTTAATGGAAAATGGTATGATAGTGTCAGAATTTGGCCTGTTGCCAGTATTTTACTGTAAAATACCTGGTAAGGTCTAACAGTGAATTTTACCTTCTTCTCATGTTCACAGTTCCCCGTGAGGCCTCACCACGAAGTTACGTGCGAATTGGAATGCTGGAGTGGGTCTGGTTTGTGGCAAACGGTTAAAAAGTCTTCGTCTCTCATTTTCTGAATGATTTTCTCTGTCCCCTAGAGCCTCCTCAATTCTATTCAAAATGTCAGGAGTAGTTAAAATTGTTTCCACAATGCGTCTAGCCATTTTAGCTCACTCATTTAAAATAATAATACTAGCAGCGGTTTATGGGTAAAATGCAAATGAGTGGTGCCAAATGAACATGTATCTGTAAATTGTTCAGCGCAGCGCTGGTGAGGATTGTTTGCGGCGCGCTGCCCATTGGGTGTCGCTAGGAAACACGTCCATGCTGCGCTGACGAATCGGCCGCTCGGCTCGTACCATTGAACGGCGCAGATGACATGTCAGCGCGGCGCAAGCACTGTGGGGGGGTGGGGGGATGGGGGGGGGTACATGGGGAGGGTTGTGGTACATTTACTGGAAAAGACAGTTAATCAATTTTGTGACAAATAAAAATGTTCATTTAGGTGAAAAAAGCAGTTATTTGTGTTAGGGGCCTAGCATATTATGCTATAATTACATTTTATTATTTACTTTCTTCAAAGTTTTAAGTGTTATATTTACCTTTGTAGGTGTCACAGTCCGTCGTCTGCACCAGTCTGTCTCGTCATCAGCACTACACTCGTCAGGATCCTCTTGTCTTCTCTCCTGAACTCACTCCCTCATTAGCC